TTGGGATCTCCAACTATAATGTGTCAGGTAGAAATAACGCTTTAGGTAGAATTCTCATTATTAAGGTAGTGGCTATATAGTAGGTAGAAGTTTTACCTAATGAGAAAATACTTTTAAAAAATCCTTATTTTTTGTATTGTCAATATATTAATTTGCTTATGTATCAATAAAGAAGATATGTCATCATCAAAAATCCTTATTTTTATTTGATTTACTTTTTACTTTATGTGTGTTTGCCTGCGTGTATTTAAGTGCACCATGTCATTTAATGCCCATGCAATCTCTCCAGCCCCAGTCCTTATTTTTAAAGGGAGCTTTTCACAAATAACATCTAGAGAGCAAACCAAGATTTATAAAAACCCCACTGTTATAACAATCAGTTTTATCTTGTTTTATCTTGTTATCAATACTTTTGTGTGACATTCAGATGAAGACCACAGTTTTAAATAAATCCCAATTTGTCAGTTTTCCCCTCTCTTATCCACTTAAACTCAATCCATTAAACCAGTGTTTATAAATGCTAAGAAGGAATGCTTCAAAGCACATTATTCTACAAAGAAGCAACCAAACAAAACTGCTCAGTGTGAAGAATTGAAAGAAGGGGTTGGAGAGATGGCTTAGTGGTTAAGAGGGCTGACTGCTCTCCCAGAGGATCTGGGTTCAGTTCTCAGCACCCACATGGTGGCTCACAGCCAATGCCCTCTTCTGGTCTCCATGGCATTGCATACATAGGTGCACTTACATGTAAGCAAAACACTCATACACATAAAATAGAAATATAAAAATGAAGAAAACGATAAGTCAACACTGAAACTAATAACATTTTGAGATCCCGTGAGAGACTGTTTACTGTGATATGGCTGCAGTGACAGAAAATGTATCGTGAAATTTGCATGTTAAAGATGAAAAGATGCAGTTGTTCAGGAACAATTTCATCCTCAAAGTACAGCTTAAATGTGTCAGTATACAGAGTACTTGTAAGAAAGAGTCTCTTTAAAAGGTGGTTAACACTTCTACTTGATACTTGTGTGAACATTTTATTAATGGTGTCAGTCAAGAGTGTAAAGAGAGGGCTAGAAAGAAGGCTCAGCAGTTAAAAGCACTGATTGCACTTGCAGAGGAGCCAGGTTCAGTTCCCAGCACCTACATGGTGGTTAACAACCATCTGTAATTCCAGTTCCATGAGATCCAACGCCCTCTTCTGACCTCTGTGGGCACTGCACAACACTGCTGCACTTACATACATGCAGGTAAAAGTCATACACATAAAATAAAATAAATAAATAAAATTTAAAAAGAGTGCGATGAGATCATTGCTTAAAGTGCCTGTATCGGGAATTGCTAGAGTCATTTCAGAAATGGAACCTCTTTTGAAGTAAATGTGCTATAGAAGCAAGCTCAACTTTCTCATGGAAATTTAGAATTATTTTTATGTGTTAGCCCCTTTCGTAGGACTTTCCCAGCTTTTGAAGCTGAAAATCACCTTAAGTCATAGATTCTTGTAAGTAGAATTATCAAGTCAGGGATACACACATTAAAACTATAGTAGCTTCTGCACTGTTGCTTCCTCAAAGTGGTTATGTTGATTCATACCTCCGTGTGATTAGAGAATCTGTTTCCTCACACCGTGGCTTACATCTTTTAAATTTCTGTCTTCCTGGTGGTTGGAGAGTGAAACTCATTTATTGCTTTGATTTGCATATTTCTAATTACAAGAGTGTTAATTATAATTGCTTATATTTACTGGACATTTATATTTTCTATCTGATAAATTGTTTTAATTTTTTTACCCTGGTTGTTCTTGCAGAAGACCCAGGTTCGAATCCCAGGACCCACATGGCAGCTAACAACTGTGCATAACTCCAGTCCCAGGGGATTCAATAACCTCTTCTGACCTCCGCGGGCATTGCACGACACGAGTGCACTTACCTACATGCAGGCAATACATGCATACACATAAAATAAAAAATAACAAAATTTAAAAAGTTTTTATTTTTTATTAATATTTTTATTGAGTATTTGTGTATTTCATATAATAGATCATAATCAAATTTAGAACCTCTGTCCCTTTTTGAACTGATTGTTCATTTTTCTGTATGATTGTTTGCATTTTCTGACCAGTTAGTTAGTACTAACTGAAAAATCTGGATATGAATTGCTTCTCTGTATATATGTTGCAAATATTTTCTGCAGAGTAGATTATCTTTTTTTTCCTGGCATGTTTTGTGCAAGTTGTCTTCAAAGTTTGAACATTTTTGATGACAGCTACTGTTTTACCTTTTCTTTTCTGGCTTTAGCAATTCATGGGATGTGGACCATTGGGCAAAGGCTGAAAGTTGTCTGCCATTTGGCTCTTTGGCCAGGAATTTGAAACTTTAGGCATTTAAAGTGCAACTTTTATAGTGTGTGCTGTTCAAATTAGATTTTTTTTTATTGCTTTAGCTTTGTGGTTACACATAGTTGTACAATGATCAGTAGCTGTTACACATTCATGGTGGTCCTGTGTGACTTCATTATTTTTGTCGTAATTCTCTTATGTTCTATTTATTTGTGCCATTTTGTTGAGGGGTTATTTTTGTCAATTCATCTTTCACTTTCACACGAGGGAACAATGAAGTTAAATAGCATGTTGGCTCACATCATAGAAGTAGAGATTCATGGAGGCCAGCTTAAGGAAGATATGATGGATTAGTTCACAGGAAGCAAGTCTTAGACCACAGGCTTGGGATGCTTGAAGGAGCAGGAGCGTTTGAGCATGTCCATTCACATCATTCTATCTACAAAGGCCACACAACAGAGGCTGCACTTAGAACTTCCTCAGCAGTTCCTCAAGTCCTCTAGAAGATAATGGACCCATGCTGGTCTCTGTGGTTCATGGCACAGCCCCACGCCACCCCATCAGTTCAGCAAGGATACATGCCAGTTCCTTTTCAGTGGCATCCCCAGACCACAACACCAGCCCCATGTGTAGGTAGCTCTTCACAGGATATAAGCAAGAGTAGATTTGGTCCTCTCTGTAGCCCAAATGGAGTTGGTGAGCATATCAGTGGAGATCCCTGAACTTTAATTTGAGAATCTAGTCTAGTTTCATGCTAGGCATTTCTGTGTACTTGAAAAGTACAGGGGTCACATAGCTTTTATTATTGCATGACCTCTCATGTTTTATTGGTTTTGATAGTCTGGTTACGTGACTATGGGATATATACTGGACACTTGTCAACAGGTTTTGGAGAGTCTCATGGTGCTAAATGATCAAGGCCCCTTACCCTACTCGGTTTCCTTTGACAGTCCTACAATCTAATAAAATCACTAGCATGTTAAGTAGATAAATTCTCAGGACTAATTATCCATCCATACCAAAACCAAAACCAAAACAAAACAAAGCAAAACAAAATCCTCATGGATAAATAGAATCTTAGAACTTGAAATTTAGAATCTGAACTAATAGTTCTCTTGAAATAATTTCCATTTCTAAGACATTTAGCCTTGTAATTACTTACTGGAATTCAAACTCAAGCGGTATTTAATCTTTGTCACTATTCTATATGATAACAAAACATAGGAAGACTCTGACAACAGGATTATTTTAACATAGCACAACTATGTTCTTTACTTTTGGGCTGTTATACCTAAAAAAGCATGTTTAATGGCTTGTAGAAAGGAAGCTGAGGTGAATAACCCTTCAGATGGGCTTTATTAGGAGATTTACAGCATCGTGGCCTGAAGTGGAAGACTGAGACTTCAGGTCTGAGGAAGGACTACATTAGGGGTAGCCTAACCCTTCATTCCTTGGATATTAGGGAGATATAACATCATGGCCGTAGGCAGCCCTGAGAGAGCCTTGAAGGGAGAGGCAGACTGTTCAGTTCTCTAACAGAAAGAGAGTTTCTCTGTCTTATGGGGTTCCAAGGCTGGGTGGGAAGATTCCATACCATGTGACCGAGCCTGACCTAGCCTATGTGCCAGGAGTCACAGCCAGGAAGGCACTAGATAAAAGTAAAGTTATAATGCAAGGTTTCCTTGGGCTAGCTCACAGCTGCAAGGGGAGCAAGATGTCAAGGCCACAGTATACTTTGCTTATACATTTTCTGGAGAGACTGCGAGGGGAGGAGGGGTAGACGGCCCGATTTCTAGGAGAGAACAGAATAGCAGAGAGTCTGTGATCTAACATTGTAGGATTACTTAAGACCTGCTTACCTCTTGCTGGACAATTGAGTGGCTAGGTTTTTGTTTTCTCTTGTTCCAATAGCTGCTACTATTTGTGATACCACAACAATCCCTTTTATTCTTTAGCCTTTCTATATATATGGGACCAATTTACTATCTTAGTTCCCTCCATTTGAAATGCCTTGTGTAGATTTCTAGATTGAATTCTGACTGAAACAGAGGACTAAGGGATTTGGAAGGTAGATGGAACATTTTTAATGTTGTTTTGTGGTGAACATCCCACATGATCACACTTTCTCTTAGGGTAACGGGCAAATTGGGGCCCCAGCAGGAAAGGACCCTGTTCCTCCAAGACCAGAAAGCGATGGGGATGGAAAGTAGGAGGGGCTGGGCAAGAAGACTTCAGATTCCCTGAGCCTGACTGTGAAGGTCCAGGCTCCTAGCACCGTTCCTAACATTTGGGTTTCTTACATTTCTAGACCTAACCCCAGAGTGATAATAGCAGTTCAGCTGAGCTCTGGGGAAGTCCCTAAGTCCTTCCCTTTTAAGAAATTGAGGGACTGTCATCAACTCTGTTTCCTGGTGGCTGACCTTGTGGGCTAGGCTCAGCACATTTCTCAGGGAGTTCAGACAAGTCATACTCGTGATTCTAAGATTTCTTCACCTGAGTCTCCTGGAAGCAAGCTTCTGGCAGGAGGAACTGGATTTCTTTCCTGTGGTACATTTGTCACACCCATGACAGCAGCTGTAGCCTCCCTCTGTACTCATCCATATAAATGACCCAGCCTATGTCGGAACCCATCACTGCTCTTCGGAGCCACTGGAGCTGCGATTCTGTCTCCTGGACATCCCCTAAAGAGTCTTCCTCACCAGGTATAGCCTACACCTGTAAAACTCCCTGACTCTGTAGCTTTCTGGGCTTTGAGGCTGGTGAATGGATAAGGCTATGGTAAGATAGCTCTGTACCTTGTTCTGTGTGGGAATTTCTGTCTCTCACTTCTGAGTGTATGGGATTGTGGCAGAGCTGCCCTCCATGGAGACCTCCCTTGCCTCTAGGCAGAAAGAGAGGCCAACAAATAGGAGAAGCCTCTGGGAGGAGATACAGGCATTAGGGGTTTGGGGAATGTGTACACCAAATGTCATTCATGGCCTTGAAACTTGTACAGATATAATGTTGCTGGGATTTCTGGCTTGAGATTTTGTCCCAGGAGGTAGCTTGGTTCCTTTGATTAGAACTTTATGCCTTGCCAAGTATCCAGCTCTCTGTTCTGAATGAAACCCTGAGGAACCAGGGTCTTAGAAAGTCTTGGAAGTATCTGATGAGTTTTATCTTTCCTATCACTGTCCCCTCCCCCAGGTGCCAGGACAACGCAATTATGAAAAACAATGAAGAGAAAATTTTCAATGGAGGTGATGTTGGGTTGGGGTCCTGGAGGGCTGGGCTACTTGCATCCATAGCTATATTCTCTGAATACCTCAACATCTTGTCTTCCTCCTCAGATATGGCCCTCACCACACAGTAAGGTGTCTGTCTGCCAGTGGGCCTTCAGTTTCTGGAGCATGAAGACTGCTGGTCATTCACTGCTCTAGTTCTAGTCCTGGCATTAGGCCAAACACAGAGCTGTGGGGCCTCTGCACACATGTGAGATGGGGCTGCTTGTTACTCTGTCTTGATGGTTTGTCCTCTTAGACCAATAACTGTCCTTGTAGCCATTGATTATCTCACCAGAACCCAAGGCTTTATTGGAAAGGAAATCTGAGTTGATGGGTCACATGAAGGCTGCCAATTTTGGGATGTAAACCTTTGATCTTCCTTATAGAAGGGCCTAGACTTAGGAGATCTTTTGCCTAGTATTGAGTCTTGATTTTCATGTTTGTTATTTGTTTCCAAACAAACAGCAACAAATACTCCTCAGACTGGAAGTGTTTCTGACTTGGACCATCAGGTGTGGATCCTTCAAGGTCAGATGCTTGTGACAGTTCCACGGACTAACAGTGTAGCTTCAGGTTAGTGGCCAACTGTCAGTGTTTTGCCCCTCGAACTGGCACAGCCACTTGTTAAAAAGAAGTGATAGTACTCTACTGCACAGTAGGGTGACTGTAATTAACAGTAGCGCATATTCCACACTAGTTAGAGGAGAGGTGTTTGAATGCAGTTGCCTTGATCTCATCATTATTATCTGGCATATTCATCAAATCAATACTTTGTATCCCATAAATGTGTCAAACTATGTGTCACAACCAAGCTTGGCTTTCAATGGAGGCTACCTGGAAAGGGCAGAATTTCACACTATCAGGGAAAGAGAAGTCAAGGACAGATTTGTCCCAGATTTAGGTAGAGCAGCCACTAGCTGGAAAAACCTTCTTGGTTATAAGGAAACTGCCTCCATTGATCTAAAATAGTTGATCTGTTCCATGGGGACTATATATGTTCCCTATGACTTCAAAGCATCCAAGGATTAAATGAGTAAATAACACAGGAAAGTAAAATTTGCCATGCTGTTGAGCAAAATTTGCTAATTCTTAGAAATCTCCAAGAACCAGACGAGTTGCTTAAGGACAGAGCTTCTGTCTGCAGGCATTCCTCTGTGTCTGTTCCAATCGCTAGGGCAGAGGGATTGCCGCTTAGGATGGATGGATGGGTGGATGGATGGATTGGCCACTTGGTGGATTTGGGTAGCAGGGATTGCATTCTTTAAGTGTCTTCTAGCCCCACCTGGAAGATGCTACTCTGCTAAATCACAACTATTAGAACATTCTGGCTTCAGAAGGAAATTGATACCCTCTCCTCTTATCTTTATAGTTACGGTCACTGTTCTCCCATGCAAGTACCCAGAGTCCCTTGAGCAAGGTAAAGGGAATCCCATCTATTTGGGAATCCAGAATCCAGATATGTGTCTGTGCTGTGAGGAAACTGACGGACAGCCCACTTTGCAGCTGAAGGTCAGTGACTAAGAAAAAAAAAAAATTCTAAAAAGCCTATATTTCTTTTCTTAAAACTTTCATTTTTCAAGTCAGCATTACAAGGCATCAGATGGCGTTATGGCATTTTTGAGCAAAGCATGTTTTAGTAGATTCTCCTTTCCCCTCATCTCACCCCCGATCCCCCATGTGGACTCCCCCTTGTGATCCGCCCCCCAGTGTCCCTTCTGCTTTCACGTCCCCTGCCCCTGCTTCCTCGGCACCTCTTCTTACCCTCTCTTGGTTTTCTTCCTAGACTTTTTAGAAAGCCTATATATCTTTACAAGAATTTTATTTGGTAGGAGATCTAATTTTAGAATTAAAAAGGAATTATTTTCCTAAGCATGTTTTTTATAGCTCTGTTTAAAACATGGGCAGGCAATAGACTTTAATTTCTTTTGCCTTTCCCTGGTTGAAGATTCTCTTCTCTCTTAAATGTTAAGACATTCTCAGTGACTGTTTCTTCAAGTGTGCCCTCTCCCTAAGTCTGCTGTATTTTCCCTTTTATAATTCCTACTCATCAGTCACTGGAAATCTTAGAGTTAACCTCAATATTTTATAATATTTTACGTAATCTCCACACACTCCTTTCACTATTAATTAATTTATATATTTGGGCTGCATTCTGGGAGAATCTCTTGGTATGATCTCCCAGTTTTTAATATGTTCTGTCTGGTCTTATATGCTAAATTATTCTTCTATAGCATTTTCTGAAATGTTTACCTCCACTCTTCTTTTTACTAGGCTCTCTAGTTGACTATAAAGAGCTTTGTGTATATATATAAATATATGCACGTAAGTATATACATACATATATCTATTCTTGTTATTAATGTACTTTAATGTACATTAAATTTAGCTATATTTAATGTACTTGCAATTAATGTACTGTAATTCATGTAATTCAACTTGATCCAATTTAATTCAGCAAATGTGTGGAAGTTAACTAGCACCATGTAGGCATGTAAGCTATATCCTGAACAGAGTGGCGAAGAACTCGACTTTGTACAACATGGATTCTAGGGGGAGGAAAGAAATGGCAAACAATAAATATAATAGTAGGCAAATTTGTGATACGCCAAAACGGATCTCTTAGGAAAAACAAACAAAAGAAGGCAAAAGTCAGTCAGAGCAGGTTAGAGACTGGGAATGGCAGAAACAGAGCAGGGTCAGGCCCAGTGATGAATAGTGCAGCAGGAGTCATGGCAAAGGAGGACTTCCAGCAGAGAGCAGGAACTGGGAAGTCAGCAGGGCATCTGGGGCATCCAGGAAGGGCAAGTCGCAGGCCAGTGAAGACAGGTGTGTAGAGTAGACTGTACATGGAGGAGAGAAGAGAAAAGGATATCTAGGAAGGACCTTGCTGTCCTCTGCCAGGATTTGCCACTTGATTTATGTGAAAAGAGAACCCAAGAATGTGTGGGTCATAGGGGACCTTAGTGAGGACATTGCTGGTGCAGAAGTGGGGGTAAAGGCATAGGTGGAAAGGATTTAAAGAGAAACCAGAGACAACAAGTATTGGCAGCCATTCTAAATGATTTTCTGCAAGGTGGGATCTGGCGGCAGTGGTGGAAAATCAAAATACAGTCATGTGACACACGACAATGTTTTGGCCAACAATGGACCTCACACACAACAGCGGTCTCTTATGATTGTGTTGCCCAGTGACACTGTAGCTGTCTTAGTGTGTGTAAGCACACTCTACAGTGATGATAAATGATGAACCAGCCATTGATTGTTCTCTCATAATGTCTGTCTTTAAGTGACAAGACTATTTTTTAAGATGAAAGCAAAATATGGTTAAGAATGGTTGGATAGGGACTGGAGAGATAGCTCAGTGATTAAGAACACTGTCTACTTTTACAGAGGATCTGAGCTCAAATCCCAGCACCCACATGGGAACTGGCAAACAGCAATCCATAACTCCAGTTCCAGGGGAATCAGACGCCCTCTTCTTATCTCTATGGGCATTTCATGACACAGGTGCACTTAGCTACATGAAGACAATAGACTCATACACATAAAATAAAAATAATAAAAAAAATTTTTTAAAAGAATGATTGAGTAAAGAAAGAAAACTGGATGGAGCACAGGAGAGCAGGACAGATGGCTGAAGGGACGTCCTTGTGTGGTGAGTGGAGAGCAGCTGTTGATCAATGCTTCTCAGGCAAAGAGGCCCAGTGTGGGTGAGATGTGCTGGGTCTAGATCAGAAGGTGGTTTGTAGACATTCTCTTCTAATTATTTCAACTTTCTCAGCAAGCTGGAAACTGAAAGTGAGGAGGAAGGAAGAGGGGCTTTGAAATAAGAAGGCAACTTTACACTTTTTAATTTTTGAGGTAGGATCTCACTATGTAGCCCTGGCTGGCCTGGAATTCACTATGTAGGCCAGGCTAGTCTCAAACTCATAGAGATCTGCCTGTCTCTGCCTCTCTCAGGTGCTGGATTTAGTGGCATACACCACTACTCTTCAGTCAACAGATCTCTATTAAGCAAGATGTTAGGACAGTTGTGAATAAGTCTGACAAGTACAAATGATTAGTAGGTAAAAATCCTAAGCTTAGAAAGTATAATCCAGGAAAGTGATAGCTATGGGCAGGGTGATCTGAGGTCACTTTGGCTAGGATATTCAGTGAAGTTCTCTTCCTAAGAAAGGCGCATCTAAGATGATACTCACGTAACAGGAAATCAGCCTGGACAGATATGGGGCCAAGTACATAGGTAGAATGAGTATCTAGAACACCTTGGTATATCTGGGAAAGGCAGATGACAGCTGTTCCTAGAGCAGATCCAGGATTCAAAGAGTGACAAGAGGTTAGGATATCAAGGCAAGCAAGAGAGTTTGGATCAGAGAGTTTGGATTTCATGGTAATTACAATAGAAAAGCATGCAGAAGTTTAAGGCCAAAGCAAGGGTGATTTTACTTACTGTAGCTATTTCAGCTACAATTTTTCTCACTGCTTTATGGAGAATGTTTGATAGCGAATAAATCTAGTTAAGAGATTAACATAACCATCCAGGCAGAGATGGTGATGGACTGGATGAGGGTCAGGAAGGAAGTAGGATATAAGAAATGACTCAATTTAGGAAACAGTCTCTAGGTTTTGCTATTTGGTTCGATGCTAGGGGATCGCAGAAAGATAGCAAAGATGATAGAGTTTTGACCATGTGAAGCATCAAATAACTTAGGGCCATTAACTGTTCAAAGGAACCCTATTGAAACAGAACACTCCCAACTCAGAATAGAGAATTATAGACCATTCCCATGTCCCATTTGAGATCTTGCACAAAAGCAATTTGCTTAGAAATCTTCCTAAATATGTGATACTTGAATAGACAAACAGCATACACAGCATCTATTTCTACGTGTAGAAGGTGCTTTTTGGTTGCTGTTTCTCAGTCCTTCACTTTGTGAGACTCTTCTGTGTCTTTCCCACGCTGTCGATCTGTCTCTTCTGTTCATGACTGGCTGGGAACACCTATCCCCAGCGTGGCTGTCTCTTGCTGAGCCGTTGCTTTAACCAGGTTTTGGCTCTCACTGTCCCAGCTTTGGCCTACTTTTTCAAATTGGCATTTATTTTCCCTTGGGGATATCTTCAGGCTTTTGTGTGAGAAGAGAACAAATTTGTTCAAGTGTGGTCATCACTTGTTCATTAGCCTGTCCCTTGTAGTCTTCCTGAGGCATGTCTGATTTCAGAGTGGGAGTGAATATGTATGCTCACTGTGCTGCCCTTTTGAAATGCACTTTTCTTCTTCTTTTCTCTCTCTTTTTTTCTTTTTTGGTTTTGTTTTTTTGTTTTTCGGTAGTGGGTACTGAACGCAGGGCCTTGCGCCTGCTGGGAAAGTATTTTACCACTGAGCTAAATCCCTAATCCCTGAAATGGGCTTTCTTAACCTATAACTGAGGCTTCCTTGAACTCTGTAATATTTATCAGTTGTACAAAATAACTTTGATACATTTTAAAAATATTTTATTATTTGTATTTTATGTGTATGAGTGTATTGCCTGCATGTATGTGAGTGCACCCGTGTTGTGCAATGCTGCAGAGGTCAGAAGAGGGCTTCGGATTCCCCTGGAACTGGAGTTAAGGACAGTTCATAGCCACCATGTGGGTGCTGGGAATTGAACCTGGGTCCTCTTCAAGATCAGTCAGTGCTCTTAAATGCTGAGCTATCTCTCTAGCCTTTGAATATCAGAAACAGGTTCCATTTATCCTCATGAGTATCCTCTCTCACATTTTAGGAGGAGAAGATTTTGGATCTCTACAACCAACCTGAGCCCGTGAAGCCCTTCCTCTTTTACCATGCCCAGACGGGTACAACTTCCACCTTCGAGTCTGTGGCCTTCTCCGGCTGGTTCATCGCCTCCTCCAAGAAAGGCCAGCCCATCTTCCTCACTTCAGAACAGGGGAAATCTTACAACATTAATTTCAATTTTTATAGAAAGCCTTGAACTCAGCATGGAGGTGACAGCTTGGGTAGAAGTCTTGGTCTTAAACTGTCAGGTTTCTATCATGCTTTCGTTTGTCTGATCTGTGTTGTTTTCTTACTGAACAGTGAGCAGGGCCAATATATCATCTCATTTCATAGATGAAGTGATGAAGCAGAATGCGGATTCCAAAGTAGGTGGGATGGGGTGATGTAGGTCTGCCCACAGAAGCTGAAGCTGTCCAGTTCATCATGTATGAGAATCTCATCACACTTGAATCTTGGATTCCAAAGTAGGTGGGATGGGGTGATGTAGGTCTGCCCACAGAAGCTGAAGCTGTCCAGTTCATCATGTATGAGAATCTCATCACACTTGAATCTTGGATTCCAAAGTAGGTGGGATGGGGTGATGTAGGTCTGCCCACAGAAGCTGAAGCTGTCCAGTTCATCATGTATGAGAATCTCATCACACTTGAATCTTGGATTCCAAAGTAGGTGGGATGGGGTGATGTAGGTCTGCCCACAGAAGCTGAAGCTGTCCAGTTCATCATGTATGAGAATCTCATCACACTTGAATCTCATGCAAGGTATCAGGCATGGGAAATAAGGCACTGTGCCATGACATGTAAAACCCTGAAATGCTCTGAATCAGTGATATCTTCATTTCCAAGTCATTGGTCTGATCCACACCAGGTTTTTACACACTTGCAATATCAAATATCTGCATTTGGATAACAGGGGCTTCAAGTGAATAGTCACTGAGATTCTTGATTCTTTGGATCCTTTAGCAGCAGACTGTTGTGGAAGGCTGGGCATACCCTTTCTGGTATGATTAGAGATATTCAGACTATGTTGAGGTGCAATGGCTACTCTTTAAAGTGTGAGAACACTGCCTAGTGTCTCATGAACAGCTAGATTGATTGACTAAGCTTGGGTAATACCCTCCTGGATCATCCCAGTGGAGACACTGCCCACACCCCAAGAGCACTGAGAACAGTGATAACAATAAATAATTCATGTCAATAAAACATTAACTTTGTTGCTTTTAGACTTTAATAAGTGCTTTAATATTTTTTCCATAATAATGCATGTCTGTGTCTGTGGTTAAAAGCACTCGTATCCACCCCAGTACCACTTCCAAAAGGCCACTTCTGTTTTTCAGATCACTTTTTTCTATGGGTTTCTTTCATGCACCTAGATATATGTAGTAGTAAGTACTAAGTCAAGCAAAGTTGCATTTACAGACATTGAGATTATGGTTAAGAGGGCCTGTATCGTTTATTTTATTCAGGGCTTAAATAATTTATTTTATTATTTTAAAATTATGTGCATATGTGTGTCTGTGTAGGGGTTTATGTGCAGGAGTAAGGGTACCCTCAGAAGCCAGAGGGGGGCATTGTCTCCCCTGTAACTGGAATTACAGGCAGTTGTGAGCTACCTGATGTGGGTGCTGGGAAATGAGCTCAGGTTCTCTATAAGAGCAATATGTACTCTTAACCACTTTCCATCATTCCAGCCTCTGGATAATTTTTTAAGTGGTGTCATTTTCTTCAGCTCTTTCATTATTCAAGTGAGGACAGGGAAGTCCATGCAGTGGATACGAGTTGCTGAGGATGGTGTTGACACTCAGTGCTAGAACCGGAAATGACGACCCTCTTGATTGTTGAACTTTCAATTTCTGTCTGCTAATGCTGGGGCACTGTGGAACAGTTACCTGAGCAACATGGCATGGTGAAATCTGAGCCACCTCACTCCCATCACTGGGGCTGTCCTTATCTTACAGGGCATCTGCAGATGACTCAGGCAGGTGTGACACCTCTGGTCACCCAAACATGATTGTTTAATGGCATAAGGGTTAAAATGTACTTATTTCACATTGCATGTCTCAAACTTGAAACATCAGACTCACTAAGGGTGTGTACTTAAACTTCAAGAACCCCACCACACCTAGTAAAGTAAAACTCCTCCCCGGACATTGCAACTTATTCTCTAAGGAATACTGGTTGATTAGGTTTGAGAATTACTTTCCTGGGTCTTCTCAGTGGAATTTTCTGTGTAGAAGCAAACAGATTAATCATGCTTGGGATAATCTGTGTACTTCTGTAGAAGTAAAGAGCTATCTAAAACTGTGTGTTTCTTGCTGATTTTGTTGACATTTTCTTTTCTAAGGCTTTTGTCTCCTGCATGATTTAAAAGTGAATTGAGAAAAATGACTTGTTTAAAAATGTTCAAGCCCTGAAATAAAATTTCATAATATTCTAAGGGTAGAAAGAGCCCAAATTTCCATCAACCAGTGAATAAATGAACAACTGTAGTACATTCAGTACTAGTCAGTAATAAAGGAAATTAATTATTGATGTTCCACTAGAGGAATGCCAGGCACAGGGGGTGCACTGCATGCTGTCGCCTATAAGGAGTCAGGAATAGATGAAACTAACCTTGATGGAAATTAGAGCAGCAGTTGCTTTGGCAACAGGAGGAGGAGAGTAGGAGATTCTGAAAGCCGCCATGAAGTTAAAACTGGCTGTGTTCAAATGATGGAAGGACTC